CATTTGTTTCATGATCTCATTAACGATAGCCAAATGGGGGCCGCTTTAAGGCCGAAAATGCATGAAATCGCACATTTTCACCATTCCGGACCCGTATCTCAGTTATGCATGGATGGATTTTGTTCAAATTTGGTACATACATTAAACATAATAGGACCTTGATGCACGTCTTTTTTTTTCGGATCAAGTTCGAAATGGCCGACTGGCGGCCATTTTGTTAAAGAATTCAGTTCTGGATCCGTATCCAAGACATGTCTGGATTGATCAAGTTCAAACTTCACACACACATGGTACATCATGTCACAAATAGATATGTGCATTTGTTTCATGATCTGCTTAACAATAGTGGAATGATGGCCATTTTAAGGCCGAAAATGCATCAAAATCGCGTATTTTCACAATTCCAGAACCGGATCTCAGTCATGCATGAATGGATTTTGTTCAGATTTAGCACAATGTACATATGCAGGTGCATTTCGGTCATGATCTGCTTTGAATGTATATGTCACTCAAATATGAATGGAACGGGGACGTGTCATTGACAATGACTTGTTGTTCAATAGTTTGGTAAATTGAATGTGTTTGGTCAGTTTTATTCAAGCAACGTGTTTTGAAAAGTAGTGTCCTGAATTTTAATTTCAGTTTTAGTCGCATTGCCTCCAACTCAAACCACAACACTTTGGTAAATAATCCATGAAATAGTTTGTCTGGACACATTCAAGTTCCTCTCATTGTCACCTTAAAGCTGTAAAAATTTGGTGTTAATCCGACGACAATAAGTATACGTTATTTTTTGTTAAAGACCTTGTATTTTGAAAAACATAAACACCTAGAAAACATCCATGAAGTCACAGCAAAGATTTTCAAGCTTGTTTATCTGCACAAGCGATTAGTTTTCACATCAAAGTTTGCTGTAACATATGTAGGGGCATCCAAATGTGTAAGGCTATTGAAAACCAAGACAAAATGAAGGAATAGGATAGCTATAATTCGATAAAATCGGCATATGAAAACACCAAATTCAATGATTTTTCTCAGTGGCTGTATGACCTTGTGTCTGAAACCAACGGGCGGAGACAAACCACTCAAATGTTTGGAAACACTCATATGCTACGT